AATGGAATTTTTAAAGCATTCTGAATGTAAAAATAAAGAAAAAAGTGTGCAAGGCAATAAGAAACACTACCTGCCAAAAAAAAGCGAAATTTTGTTGAAATCGGTTGAAAAGTGTAGGAAATCCGATCCCATATATAAACGTACACACACACACACACACACACACACACACACACACACACACACACACACACACACACACACACACACACACAAATAACCTGGGTTTTATAATAATTATAAATCGATATGTTGTCCCCCTTTCATTCTGGCGACAGAATCGTGTTTTCAAATTGATTTTGTGCAAAAACAATTGTGTTTTTTCCATTTTTGGCGCTGTCAGAACCACCGCAAGGTAATTTTACGTAGTCCTGTGAAGTTTTGTTGAAATCGGTTGAAAAATGTAGGAAATCCGATCCAATATATAAACGTACAGACACACACACACACACACACACAATCTGTGTTTTATAATAAGTAAGATTATGATTATTAATTTTTCTTTTTGCACATTTATAATACCAGTAATATTTTCAGATGAAATGTTTTACACCCATACTTATTACACGTTATACTGTCCGACAATAGATCAAAATTAGATTTAAAAGTTATATTAATATCCCATACTTTTTATATACTCTTCTACTTATATTTTGATTTTTAAATCAAAACTGACTTATTTTTTTAAGACTCGGATAACTTATCTATTCAACATACCAAGAAAAAATCACCACCTCTAAATTACTTAATTTACAAATCCCTTACAGTGATTAAGATTGGTTTTTATTATAATAAAAAACAACATTCCCAATTACTATTATATCGTTTGAATTTATCCCTCCTACCCCTTTCATCGTATTACTATCTCATATTCCTAACTTTCCTCCGCCACCCCTCACGCTTAGAAAGCTTGGAAATACTGTACCTAAACTTTTGACCCTTGTTACCGACAAGAAATTTCTCCAGTCTAACCACCACTTTAACATTTCACGCTTCCTTCACCAAACGGGTATCAACAAGCACTATTGTTTCACTTCGTCACCTTTTTGCTTTATGCAAATTTTTTTCTCAAATAAATGGAAAAAAGGAAGTGACGTTTCACATACAGCCTGCTTACAAGCAGAATTGTTCATAACAAATTTTGTTTCTCACCAGTCGTGGTGCAATTGAAATGCACCAAAACAAAGTTGCATCTTTGTAGTGAGTAAATGTTTTTGTCTATAAGAAAAGAATTATTATAAATAATTATTGCTCTACTATCAGTATCAAGCCGTCTTTTGGATTAATGCTGTGAACTCTAGAATTTATATATTATTTTCGTTCTCATTGCATCGGATATATATATATATATATATATATATATATATATATATATATATATATATATATATATATATATATATAAGTAACCAAATTCCTTTGTAACTAGAAACGTGATTTGATGAACCCGGAAAAGCACCGGCTAGGAAAAAGAGCAGTGCACGAAAAAAAAAACATCCTTCGAAAACACCGGACATTTCTTCAGATCCAACATAGGACTTATATATATATATATATATATATATATATATATATATATATATATATATATATATATAAAGTAAACCACATTCCTTCGTAACTAGAGATGTGATTGATGTATCAGGAAAATATATTTTCTGGGGAAGTAAATTGGTGGTCTTTTAAAAAATTATTTAATATATATATATATATATATATATATATATATATATATATATATATATATATAAGTGTGGGGGTGTATCTATTGATAGATAGATGGCGGAACATCTAACAAACATACAGGTTAATCGATATCAACCCATTCCGATTGATCAGAAGTAACAGAGATATACAGACAGATACATAAAGTATATGACGCAATCGCATGTCGAGATAGATATCGACAACTGAGAACAGAGACAAAAATCGAAAAATATAAACATAACGACAGACAAGTCAATAAGTAGATAGATAGATAGATAGATAGATAGATAAGGATCGAACTGAAATAGTGTTGTGACTGAGTCATCAAAAACAATAGTAGAAAACCGGAATTTGTTTAACAACAATTTTATTACCTTTTGGTACAGAGAAACTTAATATAGAATAAAAACTAAGGGAGAGAATGTTTAGCCGTGAATGACTAACTGTTTTCAGTGGTAGCAATTGCTACCCGTCTTGATGTAGGAGTATTTTTATGTTTTTCGTCCGACGGCCGAGCGCAAACTAGTAGGGAAATATTCTCCCTCAAATATAGATAGATAGATAGATAGATAGATAATGAATAGGCTGAGATAGATAGATAGATAGATAGATAGATAGATAGATAGATAGATAGATAGATAGATAGATAGATAATGAATAGGCTGAGATAGATAGATAGATAATGAATAGGCTGATATAGATAGATAGATAGATAGATAGATAGATAGATAGATAGATAGATAGAAAAGCAAATAAATCGATATGAAGAGGTTTAGATCGATAGATATATAGACTGATAAAAATGAAACATCTTCCAAAAATAACCTTTCCAAAAAATGATGTTATAGTGTTTTTATCATTTGGCCAGAATCAGGGATGTGGATCGAATCAAGAAATTTTCAACTGCGCTTCGTAGATATATATCTATACATGGATGAAATGAAATCAGGAGGGAAAGCGCGTGCCAACGTAGGTGGTAACCTCTCTGATCCGATATTGGTTAAAGAATTGTGTTAAGAAAGGACAGACACCGCGCCGTCTCGATTGACCTTGCAGTTTGCTATGGTTTTCTTGATGGGTTTTTAAAGGGTGCTCACATGGGGTTATCACCAGATATCAAGCAAAGGCTAAGATTATTTACACTATTTATATTCGTAATAATGTCCACGTCTTTGTTGTTGTTATCACAGCGTTTCAGTTTTTTCAAGTGTCGATAAAAGAACATATTTAAACTTCTCTAAAAACGTTGTTTTTTTTGTGAGGGGATACACAATTGATTCATTTATATGGGTGCTAGCACTTATACGTGTACATATGTTCATATATATATATATATATATATATATATATATATATATATATATATATATATGCGGATGTGTGTTAATATTTTTGTGCTTTTTATATGTGCTTGGATTTATGACTGTCTTGCCGTTACATATAACATTTACAATACTAAATTAACATCTTTTGTATTATTATCCATGCATCATCTCACTAAGTCTTTTATTTTTATTGCTTATCTGTATATAAAATCCCTTCATTTATGTTTGATATTGTTACCATTATTGTATTTATTATTTGTATTAAGGACCCCTTTATTAGATTAACTAATTTGGAATTGGGTTGATTTTTCCTACTTAAAATAACAGGCCATATCGCTCAATTTGCTGTATAACCCAATGTACAAAGTTTCACACTTAAGGAAAATATTCTTGGCCGGGTCAGTCTATTTTAGGCTTAGTACTATCCATTCATCCCTTCCTCCTTTCCTTTCGTTACCCTCTCTTTATATCACTTTTTAAAAGAACTTGACCATCAGTAACTTTCCTTCTTTCTCTCCTTCTTTCTTCTTTTCTCTTGCTTTCCCTTCACCCTATCAATCTAGTATATCAGTTCGGCGAAATTCTCTCCATTTACTAAATGTTTTCGGTCTGAAGAGATGAATATATAGTGATATCCACGAAATAAATTATAACCAAAATAAATCTTTATGGTTTTCTTCTTGATTATATATATTTATATATATATATATATATATATATATATATATATGTGTGTGTGTGTGTGTGTGTGTGTGTGTGTGTGTGTGTGTGTGTGTGTGTGTGTGAAATTGTGGAGTATATCTGTAAAAGTATACTATCAATAAAGACAAAAGGAAAACTTCTCTCAGCCGATGCGTTTCGTCATCTGGGAGACTTTATCAAAACAAATGTAATGATTTTATTTTGTAAGAAGTATTTATATACAAGAGCAAAAATATTCTTTTTTTACCCTTTTTAAAATTCGAGAATGCTCATAAATATTCATTCCGTTAGCTGAAAAGTCAGGCAAGCCATGGAGTTACGTTCACTGACACAATTAAATGTCTAATAAACTAAAGTGAGTGAATGGTGTTTTTGATTTTTTAAATGCAAATTAGGATTTAAATTGTTTTAGTTTTTATTTTTTTTTTACCATTTTTATAGTCATGCATTTTTGGAACGTAGTAATTCGATCAAGATAAGGGACATTTAGAAAAATCCGGGGAGCATATTTATATATTGATAATATTCAATAGTGGCAGATTCGAGAATTTAGCTTCCAATTAAGTTATTTTCTCTTTTAACGACTATGGCATACAGGTCGTAATATAAGTGACAGAGGTTGTGATTGAATTTCTTTTTATGTCTAACTAAAGAATTTAACCAAGCCCTTCAAAATAACGGTGAGGCTCGTGCCGTGGCCCCAGACATCTCCAAAGCGTTTGACAGGGTTTGGCATGCTGGCATTACAGGTCGATTGTTTGACCTAATACAATCATTCCTGTCAAACCGTGAATTGAAGGTCGTTCTCAACGGATTCTCCTCCAGTTCCTACCCCACGAACGCAGGTGTTCCCCAAGGCTTCATTCTTGGCCCCACGCTATTCCTTATTTTCCCCAACGACCTTCATGACGCCATAGATTCCCAAGTTGGCATCTACGCGGACGACATTACAATTTACTCCTGCCTCAAAAACAAATCTAGTGTCGGTGACAAAACTAACCTGGCCGCTCGTCTTGAAATGGACCTCCAATCGGTTGTTAATTGGGGCAAGAATTGGCTGGTCAACTTTAACGCCTCAAAAACTAAACTGCTCTCTATTAACCACCATAGAGATCCTTCCCTCCCCCCATTAGAATGTCTGATGCTCAACTTCTTGAGAGCAACTCTCTGCGTCTGCTCGGTCTCACGTTGACTGCTGACCTGAGATGGAACAAATACATTGAGTCAATTGCTTCGTCCACCGCAAGGAAAGTTGGCTCTCTGTACCGCACCAGGAAGTTTTTCTCCCCGAAATCGATACTTCAAATATACAAATCAACCATTCGCCCTTGCATGGAGTATTGCTGCCATATATGGTCTGGTGCACCTTCTGTTTACCTCGGAGTTCTTGACAAGATTAAGAGACGCATATGTAATATAATTGGCACTGATCTGGCATCTCGTCTACAGTCACTCTCTCACAGACGCGCCGTCACCTCTCTGTGTCTTTTCTACAAATACTTTCATGGTAATTACTCCGCTGAGCTGCTTTCACTGGTTCCCAGACTTCATGAATACAAGCGCCCTACGAGGCTGGCATCCTGCTCTCACCCTTTCACTGTAGAAACTTTTAAATGTAGCCGTCTCTTCTACTCCAATAGCTTAATATCTCGCACCTCTCGCCTGTGGAACACCCTTCCCTATTACCGTTTCCCTGAGAGTTATAATCTCCAACTATTCAAATATAATGTCAATCGACATCTCCAGTTATCTTGATCTACCCACTATCCTTCTCCTCATCCTATCTTCTATTACTCCTATCTGCTCTTGCTCCAAATCTTCTGCAAACCCTGCATCCTAGTGGCTTCACGCCTTGCTCGGGGCGTAATGCTTTAAAAAAATAATATATCCCTTTTGTGTTCACACACACACACACACACACACACAGAGAGAGAGAGAGAGAGAGAGGCACGCACACACATACATACAGAGTCACGCACCCGCACACACACACACATACACATATGCCCAAACAGGATGGGCGGGAACCGTATCAAAGCGAGAAAGCTGGTATAATCATCTATTGTAGAGCAACACCCTCATTTCCTTCGTATTCTATTGATGGAATGTGAATTATACTTGACCATAAACGGCTGTTTGGTGTAACCGACTCCCAAGAGAATTTTTTCCTGATCACTATAATTAGCTGATCACTACAACTACTTGCAGCGTTTAACGTTCACAGGACATTTGAAGCAAGATGGTTAAACGTGCGAATGAATGGATAGTAGAAGGGGAGGCGAAAATACATAGTAATGAATTACACACACACACACACACACACATATATATATATATATATATATATATATATATATATATATATATGTGTGTGTGTGTGTGTGTGTGTGTGTGTGTGGGCGCACGCGTGGACATGTGAAATATATATATACATAGAACTGCTATATAATTATTTTATCAGGCATTAAATCTTACAGACAATAGGAGGATGATTAAAAACATGTTTTATTTTTAAATAGTATTTATTATCTGTTTCCAATAATTCCGAAAAGTACAAATCAACTCAAAGCAAATGCATACCGAACACAAGATTGTTTGTATGAAATAAAAAAAAATTAAAAATGAAAATAAACTTTAGCAATTATTATTTTCCTTCGGAAAAAAAAAATCTTGTCTGGCAATGACAATTTGTTGATAGAGATTGTTTCCCATGCGTAGCACGAAATACTCATCTATATCTATATCTATCTCTCTCTCTCTCTCTCTCTCTCTCTCTCTCTCTATATATATATATATATATATATATATATATATATATATATATATTTATTTTGCAGTATTTACTACCTTTAAATAATTATATGTGAAAACTAATTTAAAATGAACATGTGTTGTAATATAGCGGTAAGAAGCTAATTAATGAAAGCGGCATTTAAATTCGACAGACATCTGTTGCGAATGGAGGGCAATTGTTAGCGCTAAACAGTTTGGATTTGGCGAGCTGATTTCAAATTACTATCTAGTCGACTGCTTTCTCTTTCGCATTAGTCGCACATACGAAATGCATGATGCCTATTAAATAATTCTTTCAGATTAAATTCTACTTTTTTCTTCTTCTATGTGCCGCGTCCCTTCAAGACACTCTGTACAAGGCCCAAGAGCCACTCAAGGTAGAGGATTACTGAGTACGAGGCACAGTTTATAGGGTTGTATGGAGAAGATAACGATTGACCTTACACTAGAACAGTCCAAGATTTTAGCGATCAGAAAACATCTTCTTGGGAGTTGGTTACACCAAACATCGGCTCGTGAGCAAGAACTTGCTACAGAGGAACTCACATCTTACTAATAGACTATGAAGGAAATTAGGGTGTTGTGCTACAGTATGTGATTATAGCTCTCCGCAGCTTCCTATTTCGCGTGTCTCTTACTAGTTTTTCCCGATTTTCTAAGGTTCCTGTCCCATCCCGTTCTCCCGTCCATTCACACAACCTCGTCAGGTAAGGGGCTCGCTGCTTTCCCCTATCTATCTTGCCGTCAGTATTCCCCGAGAGAGTTATGTTTTCCGGGCTCTCCTTCTTCGTTATGTGTATTCGGACAAATAACAAGGAGGGACGACCAGGAATAACAAGGACATTTGAAGGGATGACCAGGAGGTAACTGTTTGTATGATACACCTAATTTACATAAGGGACTACCGACCATATAAATATGGGTTGGTACCGGAAGACAGGGGAAGATAGTAGAGATAAAATCCAAAGACTCT